CGAAATTGGGTGAATACATCTTATAACTGATTTACTGGTAGTCACGAAAAACAATACTTAATTCGAAAAACAAACAGCTTCTATAAAAGCGGAATGTTCTCTTCCTTTGATGATTATTTTCTAAGTAGTGTGTATTATTTCCCTTAGTAGTGGTTTTGGCCGAAATTATTGTCTGCAAATGCTGCTATCACACTCCCGTCCCCTCTCTATCTCCTCTTCCCTGCTTGAAACCATCCATTTTGCCCTACTCTACAGACTCTTCTTCTGACCACAATGTCTACCTTGCTGGAGACGCGAGTCAGTCATCCCATCACCAAGGCAATGATGTCTGCTCGTTCGTCTATCTTCTCACTGGCCAGTCGGTTGTTGCAAATGCGTCATCGGCTCGAGACGGCCCGAACTGCTGTCACCGATCTGGTCGGCCTAGAGACTGCGTTAAATTACTCTCTCAGACAGTTTGAGCACCGATGGCGATTGGCCGTTGCCTGGCGCGAGCCTCCTAGCGCAGATGTGGCCAGGAGTCACTTGATCGCGCTTGTTGTGAGTCCGGCTTACCGGCAAAAGACTCGTTGTTTGAATCGTTGCAGAACGATTTACATGTTTAGATCGAACGAATTTCAACTCTAACCAGAATTAATTCGCTTTTATAAAACTAATCACCAACGTAATCACCTCATATTTCCTTGAGGCAGTCCTTCCAGCACTTTCCAATCCTCAAAGTACAGCTTAAACTTGTACTAATTGTGATTGTGAAAAAAACTGGACTTCTAAGCTTCCAAGAATAATTTCATGTTGGTTTATCTTTAGCACAACTTGAAAAAGTAGGCAATCACACATCTAGGCAGGATCAAAGGCTATTTTGTGCGTAAGGATATAGCTGTAACAATATCCACACTCTTTTTATGGATGAACTTCCTTCCTCTATCGGGATGTCAAGAGAAGTATGAAGTTCACAGCCGTATCATGGGCTATTTTGTGAGCATAGAAAAATTAAATTTATATAATCTGTTTGGATTTTTGTTTTTATGA